GAGTCCTCAGAAAACCCCATCCTCTCCTCTGGGAGAGAGGACACTCGGGCTTGTTCAGCTTGTTCCTTTTTCCAGTGCTCCAAAATATGTGGTATATATTTTGTAGCTCCATGAGGATTTGTGAACAGGGCTCATAATGTCTGCAAAGTTGTGTGGAATTAGTCATGTTCTCTACGAGCCTGGCCTGCTGCCAGTTCTCTTATACAGGAATAGGGAGAGAGTAGAGGTTTCTCTGGAGCTTCATTGGAGGAAAAAAATGCAAAATGTTTCAAGAGTCACTCAGTCAGTCATTGATCCAAAGTGTCTAAATAAAATCTTCAGTCTCTGGAGTCCCTGTAACTTTCAAATGAGTCAAAACAGACTTGATAGACTAGACAAGACATTATGGCTCTATCCTTGAGCTTTTAGAGAAGGATATTTACAAGAAGAAGAGAAATTGCAGCAAAATTTTTACAGGTTCTCCCAGTCCAAGGGACCTGTACTGGAGCTTTTCTGTGCTGTGCAGTGCTTGGCTCTGATCACCTTTCCCTGTGCCCTCTTTCATACTTTATCCACCTTAGACTCACTTGCCCTTTATTTGCTACCTTTCCCTCACCTTCATCTTCTTGTTTTCCATGTCATTTTTCTCCTGCTGAGTAACGGGCCTTGGCACTAATGTAACAGGCAGAAAGCCCCATGTGAACTTGTGACTCTTGGGCAAGGAGGAATAAATGCCAGAGAGACATGACATTATCGCTACTGGATGGCTTAGTCCAGCGCCCAAGCTTGCCCATACTTGTAAGTGCCCATGGGAGAACCCAGTGTACCCTTTTCCCCCTCACTTTTGAGGGATTTCTTCTGGTCCTCCATGTTTGCCTGCCCTTACTCAGACCACCTGGGCAGGCAGCACAACAGGGGGCCTATGGGTTTGGGGGCTGCATTCACCCACTTCACACATATCCAAGGAAAAGCATCAGAAGAAAAATTAACGGTCATTGCTCTCCAGCACCTAATCTGAGCTCGGACCCATTGCTGCCGATGGGCATAGTGCTAGGAGCAGGCACACCATAGTCCCCACCAGTGCCCCAGCACGGCACCGTGGATGCCCCGTGCCACAGGCTTTCCCGGAGACACAGCAACTGCCCAATGGGTGTTGAAATCAAGCTTTGCTTTCCAGCATTCACAGCTGCCCTCGGTGGAAAATCACCCCTGCTAGGGAACAGGAGGGATGAGGATAGCGCAGACACTGTGTAACCCACCTTCCTTCTGCACTAGCGTAACACGGCAGAAAAGGGTTGGCTCATGTCTCTGCTGCTGCTTGTGGAGATGGTGGTCATTCAGTGTAGGGATGAACTAAAACAACCCCATCAGGCATTGCCAAAAGTCACACTTTTTAACACTTTTTTTCATTAAGGTTCTCTTAGCTCTTAGTCCCTGATCTGGATCTGAAAATAAAAGGTCTGGTTCAGAAATCCTTATTTTCACTCATCTTTACTGCCTGATAGGGCTTGTTGATATTACATCTTGGATTTGCCACAGAAGACACAAACAAGCGAATGAACAAATGCCACAAAGATAAAATATTGTCCTTCCTTGGTACAGCAGACACCTTTCTTGGGGAGACCAAAATGCCGTGCAAGAAGCTAGCCCTTCACCATCGAAGGCAACTTCCCTGGCTGCACTATGAGAAGCCATGATACTAAAGATACTGCTAACCTGTTGGGCTGCAGGTCTATCGCGATGCAGCTGCTGTGCTCTCTGAGAGCTAAGTTGTTATTTTCATCACGTGTTGAAGACAATGAGGGTGTCCAGCTTGGGTCTGGTCTATTTGCCTGAGGACTTACTCACACCCATACAATTGCCCTGTGGAGAAGATCTGACTCTCAAAATAGCAGAGATGAGGAGGTCCACATAACGCACTGCCTCAGCTAACCTGTAGCTGCTGAGGCATCACAGCTTGCAGACATCAGCAAGACTGGCATCCTTTTCCCTAGGTTTCAGGGGAGGGAGAGTAGGGTCAAGGTGAGCTAAAATGAGCCGCTCTAAAAGCCGTCGCCTCTTGCGCGATCCACCCTTGTTTTCGACACTTCCCTTGCCTCCCCTCGCGGTGTTGACTGCTTCTCGGAGGATGGGTGGTGGCCTTTTCTGACAGCAACATCAGATGTGGTTACACGACAAGCACGGCAGCTTTGCAGTGACTGCAGGATTGATTCGGAGTTGCGGGGAGGAGAGTTCATCAGTCAACGGGCAAAGAGTGTTTTGCAACAGCTCTGCAAGAACGAGATAGAAGTAATTCTGGAGGGCAAAACAGAAGCTGAGGTGCTTCAAAATAACCCAAGATCTAACCAAATAAATCAGTTAGATCAGACAGCTGAGGGGGTAAATAGCGAAGACACCAGCGTGCATCCTGACAGCAAAAATTCACGGCCCAGACAGCTGGGTAACGCGGGCCATTTTGCACACGTGAAGTTGTTCCCCCGGCAAGGAGGAGCCTCGCGCTGCCCTCGGGGGCGGGTTTTCGCGAGGCGCTTGGCATGCTGAGGGTGCCATCGGGCCGAAGCGGCAAGTGGGAACGAATCAAAGCGACTCCTCTTTGTGCCCTCGCAGCGGAGGCTGCGTCATTGCCATTCATCACCAGCCCAGCTGGGGGGTTCGTTCTGGTGACAGTTGTTTTCGGGAGAGCGAACAGCTTTTGATGCCTTTTAATGCCCGTAAATAAAAGAAAAAAGGGCTGTCAAGGTAACACGCTTCCGGATGGGCTGACTGAAAACAGTGTGCAAGGAAGTAACTTTAAGTCCCCAGGAAATGTAGCACAAAAGGGAAATGGCACAATAACCAGGACAGCGTTGCTTGCTCCTTCAGGCTTCTGAAGGATATGGTAAATGGCTAAAACTTCCCATGCTCAATTTATAAACGAGCTACAACTGCAGGGCAGCACACATTTCCTTTATAGGGCATTTTTTCCGGATTTCCCCCAGGGCCTCTGCAGGAACATGGCAGCCTGCTCTGGTGTCACAGGCTGGAACACGCTCGGCAGCGCCCGCGGCAGGTCGCCTCCGGCTCGGCAGGGATCGGACGCTGCTCCCGCGCAGCCTCCCGCCATTTCGAGGCAAGGCTGTGGCAAGGCCCGGCCTTGCCGGAGCGGTGCGGGCGGGAGGTGCCTCAGCGCGAGGCGCGCGCATGACTCGCTGACCCTCGTCGCCTCTCCCCTGCCTTTCCCCTCAGCAGCCTCCTCATGTTCTGACCTTTCCGCCCCAGCCACCTCCGTAGTTCGCAGCTGTGGGGCACCCTGGCCCTGCCCGCCCTCGGGCAGGTAGCACTTGGAGGGGCCCCTTCCCCTTGCAGTGGGCTGCCCTCCCTTCACACCAATGTTTTTCACTGCATCTGGCCCTTCACTCTTTTATTGTTTCTGTTCTGACATCTCTTTATTTTTGTTTGTTTTTTTTACTGCTCTCACCTTCCACTCCACATCTCCTCATCCTCCTGTAATGGTGCCTCTCTCTTTTCACCACTTTCTTCTTTTGCTTGCTCTCACTTAAGCTGCAGGAGACCTTTCCCAAGGCAGAGGTACGTGCCTGTTGAGTGCAGTAGAGTGCAGCTAACACCTAATCAGAAAGTGTCCTCACTTGAAAAAAAATCACTTCAAATAAATGAGATCAGAAAAAGGGTGGAGACATTTAGAAAGTCATTTCTCCAAGATCATTGAGTCCAACCATAAACCCATCACCATCCTGGTTAGGTAAACCATTTACCTAAGTGCCTCATCTACACATCTCTTGAGCACTGCCAGGAATGGTGACTCCACTACTTCCCTGGGTGCTTCCTTTTGCTGCAGGAATTAGTGAGCAAGGACCTAAGGCCAGTGCTGGTGCTGGGTTAGATAGTCTAAGTGGACTTATATTCTCTCTTGTCTTCTCCATCTGTATTTGTTTAAGCCTTGAACTGCCTAGGAGACTGGCTATCTCCATTTGCAGCCTTGGAGAAACCAACTGTTGGAGTTTTCCTTTTAAAAAAGCCTAATAATTAAAGACAAGCTCATTATAGCTGCTCATGACTCACCCATTGGAAGCCACAGTGAGCACCTCTGCTGAGCTGAGAGTCTCTCTTCCAAAGGCGTGGTGACACATGCAATGCCTAGACCAAGAAATCAAAGCTCAGTACGGGTTCATTGCCATTACAGACTACCTTCGATAGCAGGGACCTGAGAGATGACCAGTCTTGGCCCCAGGCCTGTGCATGCACACACATGCACATGTGCGAGTGGCCCCAGTGAAGCCAGCAGGACTGCTCAAGGCTCAAGCATTTTGTGCAGGTCTAGAGGGAAGCTGATTTGCGAGCATGGTCCTCATAGAAATTGAGACCTGGCAGAAGAGAGTCCACTTGCTTTATAAAAATCAGAAAACACAGCCACTGAGAGGACCAAAGTAATGCAGACCTAGCACTGACAGAAATACTCAAATAATATGCCTACTATTGACAGCAAGCAAGTTTTACTTCAGATATTTTTGTATTATCACCTGATCAGGGGGAGGGTCCTCAACTTTGGTAGTGTGCCAAAAATGGTGACTTGGGGGAGCTTACGTCCCTGCTAGCAATTCTGTCCATGAGACAACCAGCATTGCCTATAGCTCTTCAACTTGTCCAAGTTGTCACATACAGGAGCAAAAGTGCTCTCACTGTTGCCCTGATACATAAAAAATAAAATCCCGTGAACGCGTGACATGGAGAGAGCAGGGAGTCTACTCTGGTCAGATGGTCCCTGCAGTGAAACTGGGCTGCTCTGCCCAGTGAGTTATTCCCCAGCAGCAGAAAGGATTCACATTCATATGCAAAGCCCCCATGCTCGGGGCTGGCACTGCTGCCGCACAGCAGTGTTGGCTGCAAGAAGGCAGTGAGGGCAGTGTGCTTTTGGAGCCCGTCCTGCCTGCACCTCCTCTGAAAACTAACTCCTCTCTCAGCGTTAGGAACATCCCACCTCAAAACCCATCGGCTGTCAGCCAGAACGAGAAAAGTCATTCATATGAATGAGTCTATTTTCGTAAGTGCAGATGCGGAAGTTGTTACCACCAAAATGTTTAGGAAACTGGTGAAAGGAAACAGTCGTTCTGTAGCGTAGGAACGAGCTCAAGCACTCGGCGCTCAGGCTGCCCCCTCGAGCTGCGTCCTAGCCACCATGCAGCACGCCCAAGAGGATCTGGCTGCACCCGGCGAAGAAGATGATGCCTTCGAGGAAGGTAAAGTGATCTTTTATTAAACTAATCCCTCTCCTGCTCAGACCAGGGGCAGGTTTCTAGCTTTGGCGTTATTTCTCGGGTAAACGCCAAGTTCTCCATGGGCTCCAAGGTCAGAGGGCGACCAGGAAAAGGACACTTTCTCTTCTGCCTGAGAGAACAGAGAGCCAAATTGTACCAGATACTATAAAATAACTTTCACATCAGTCTGGCTGCTTGCCTCCTCAGCAAAGAGCTTGCTGCAGAAGAAAGTTGAGGGCACACCAAGTATATTTTCTACAGCGAGTGCACTTTGCAACATAGTGTGTTTGGCATTCAGCACTGCAGGTGCGGCTGTTGCTGAAGCAGTTCGGGCTACGCGTGGGGGTAAGGGTGACTTGTTGCCTCATTTTTATGAGCAAAATTACCCTCCTCCTTTCTGACTGCCACAGCCCAGGGGCACAGAGTCTGTGCTGTAGCTACTTACCCCTAAAACGGCTTCAGCCTGAACCTGATTCTCTACTGTCTTGCATCCTGTGCCACCGTTTTCGCGCGAACGGAGTGCTGCTAAAGCAAAATGGAAGAGGCACAGATAAGAGCGCCTGGAGGAGGGCGGTGGATCTTGCCGCAGCGGCTCATTCCCTGCCCTTGCTCCCTGCTCCCCTTTGTGTGAGAGTGGAGGCCGGGGGGAGAACCTGTTCATGCAAATCTTCTCCCAGCCCTTAACAGTTTCCAAGGGAGTTGAAAGCACAAAGAGCTGCCTGGATCAGCTCCAAAGACTGTGAACCTTTAAACTCACTTTCAGTACAGCTTCAGCAAACCTCCTTTAAACAAAGCTTAGCTGTGGTTGGTATGGAAAACTTAGCAGTGAATAGTGCCAAAGCAAGTTATCTGAGCCTCAGTGAAGACATCAGCACAGAAAAGAAAGCAGTGATGTACTGCCTGTATTCAGATACATTTCTCACATGAATATCTGTACTCTATGATGTAGTCCTAGCTCAGAAGGGCAACAGATTTGAAGAAAACAGAGGTCAAAATATTTTCACTTAGAAAGAGATCGTAATAGTCAAGGGAAGATCTGATGCCACTGGGCAAATGAACTCATATTAAAAACACCCTGCTGTCTTCCTTACAATTAGCCCTCACAGGTGGAGACTGCTTCCCACAGCCAGCCAAAGCCATGCTCCAATTCAATATAGGCATTTTCAAGTGCTTTGAAGAGCTGGTGCAATTTAGGCTTCATTGCTCTGTAGCCTATGTTCTCAACTAGAAATACAGGGGGGAGAAGGAGAGAAATGTGTTCGGGTTATTTGTCATTTATATCACATTGTCTAAAGGCAAAGATACAGCTCTTCTGCAATCTTTTCCACCTTCTAGATAAGTTGTTTCTGGCAGGGCCAATCTAGCAATAGTTATAGTCAGGAGTCCTGCCTCAGTCCTGCCTCAAAGGCAGGAAAAAAATGAATACCTTTCTGTGACCCTGCCTGGAGCTGGAGTTTGGACTAGACGGCCTCCAGAGGTCTCTTCCAACCTGCATCATCCTATGATCCTGCGAGGCTGTTGATGGCCTCTCAAGTTCATCCGTGTGTAAGAGAGACCAAATTTACCCTAGCTCAGCCCAAGAGCCTGGTCTGCAGGCTTGCTGGGTGAAAGGCCCACATAAACAGGCTCCCTGCCTTCAGCCTCCTCTCCTTTCTCATCAATGAGTTAGTGGGAAACTTTAAATTTTTGCCTGTTACTTCTGCAGCACTGTTGACCCAGGGAGTCCCAGGTCACTTCCCCAGGCTGGGTGGGATCCACACGGGAAGGAAGAAGGTCATGGGACACTCCACTCAGGTGGGAAGAAATGGGCAGACCAGCTAAAACTAAGCCATAGATTTGCAGCCCAGATGCAGCCCCTTGTCATTGGCTGAGCTCTGACTTTCAGTTTCACACAGGTCCTAGGGTGGAGGCTTTTTTTTTTTTCTTTTTAGCATCCAGTCTTGATTTGGAAAGCAGTAATGGTAAATCTGCCATGACCCTTTCTAAGTTGTTTCAGTGTCTGGCCACTATCACAGTGAAAAATAGCTGTGTCTTGCTTCTAAAGTAGTATTTGTCCATTTTTTTGAATTTGCTATTCTCTTGTGCAGGAGAGCAGGGAATTCACTACTACTATCTAGATATTTCTCATGCATTCGGACCAGTGTTAGCCTTTGGCAAACAGACTGGTGTCACTGGCTCTTTCTGCAGAGGAATGTTCTTTAATCTTTTAAGCATTTTCATGGCTCTGCTTGAGACCATATCCTTGGAGATGTGGACAGCAGCATGGAGCACATCATTGCTCCAAAACTTTTACCCCAAGAAGTCGCCCAGAGCTAACACAACCTCTTCACTCATACTTAATATACATATACAAGGATCACTTAATAAATACAAGGACTGACTGAGCCCTTTGGAGTCCCAGCACCATGCAAGATTCTCTTCTTCACGAGGTTCTCCTCTGTACTCATCAGGCCTTTTGGTGCCAAAAATCTCAAGGCAAACACTGTCCTCTAATTATGGCCAGTATCTTTGCTCACAGACATGCCCATACTAAAACCAGATGAATCAGCTCAGCTCACTCCCTGTTGTCTCTTCCCTCTGTTATTTATCACTTCCTCCAATATTGTGCCATCTGTAAAATCTGTCAGTGACAATTTTAAGTGTTGGTTAAAGTCATTCAAAAAGAAGTGTTAAATCCCATGGGGGCAGACCCAATCTGCACAGGTTCGCCCTAATAACTGTCACCCCTGCTGGTTCCTCAGCTTGATTAGGTCTATGCGACTTGCTTTGCATCTCTCTGCAAATCCCAGATTGATCTCCTCTCACTCAAATTTATTAGACAAGACCTCACGCAGCGCCATGCTTCATTTCTCGCATAAGTCCGAGCCTAGCATCAACACAATTATTTTCTGTGAACCTTTCTATGGAAGTGTCTTGATTATATCCCATGTCCCTCAGTTTTGATTAGATGACTTCTACATCAGCTATGCCATTACTAAGCCATATCACTGTCGGCTGTCACACTGTTAGTGACAGAATATTAACTCATACTTCTCTAGAAATCCCATGATGTTGTAAGTTTTTTGAAAATCAGCAGAGCTCCTTGACTATTTTTAAGCTGCAGCGTAAAATCCTTCTTTGAGAAAGATAAAGGGAAAATATTTTCCCACTGATACAGACTATAATAAAGCTCTGACATTTTACCACATGCAAACAAAAACATTTGCAAAATACTTCTGTGTTCTCTGCAGCATTATTGATAATTCTACTATTTTCATCTACCAATAGTCCAAAACATTGATTTTTCTGGCTGTCCATTGAAATTCCAGGCCACGTAGCAGGATGATAGAGTATATTCAGAAAATAATATCTTCACATAAACTCAGGCTGACTCTTGCCGTAGCTATTTAAGGCTCGAAGGTGTTCTTCCTGGAAGAAGGTCTCTTAGTTGATTTGCTTGTTTTCTAACAACAGCCTTGCCCTCACATTCTGCTATCTGCTTTGAAAGGCTTGAGGAGACTTTGCAAATGACTACGCCTGGGTTCAGCGAAGCACATCTACTTCTTCTCCGAAACAAGGTCATTGTTTAATAGAGCACAGCTGTATTGTGCAGAAGTTTAGAGAAGGAACCTCTTGAAAGTACAGCTGGTGACAGGTTTCATTTCTTTCATGGCCTTAATGACTATACTAATTGAAGAGTGACTTGAGTTTTACACACAGACAGCATACCTATTTTGGCAAAAAAATGCTTTTTAATTTTTAGTGACTGTAAATGCCTGAGATTTTGACATGGTATTTCATTAAAAGCAAGTAACTTCCAGCAGCAGAAAGCTGCTTGTAACCAAACAGACACGTCTTTTTCCTAAAGCCTGTATAAACTGCAGGTCTTGGGAACACTTCTGTGGCTCCGGGGCCCAGGTGCAATCCCTGGCCATGGGCTGACGGCTTGCTGGGAAGTTTGGGGCCTCAGTCATCTCCCTCGGCAGACTCTGGTGTTCACAGATAAGAGACCTGAGCACTCACACAGGCGAGGAGGCCTCACACCATGGCTCCAGCATAGCCTGGCGCAGGGCTTTGGCATGGCGGGTCCTTAGAGATCAGCTCACACGCATCTGCGTGCGGAGGATGCAGGCTCTCAGCTCTGCACTGCAGGCGCACGGGCCCAGCTAGCACCGAGTGATGCATCTAGAAATTAGACTGTGAGTTATTACAGCGATTACAGACCCTTTCAAACAGCTGCTCCGCACTGACCTCTCCTCGCACCTGCATTTCCCACCTCCTGTCTCTACCTTCTGGCTATACCTATGGTACCTGACCTACTTTTCAGTTATTCCTATAAAGCCAGCACAAAATCCAGTCCATGTTTCCAAATTAGGGGGAGAAAAAGCAAAGCCGTCTTTTGCATAATGTAGAGTAAGTGTGTGCTCCAGTTCAGCACACAAGAGCCTTGTCTTAGTACACAGTGAGGTGTCAAGAGCCCCAGGAGTCCTCTCCTTGCCCAGGCCCCACGTGCTGCTAGGGCTCCCCAGCATTGCTACCCATCAAGGCTCCCAGCAGAACTGGAATTACATCAAACTTTTAAGGTATGTTTAAAAAAATGTGCAAGATGGCTTAATATCCTTATGAACTGTCCTTTTGAAAAAGAAAAGAATCTTAGCTCTGAGGCTGGGGATCAGCTTTGACATTTAAATGAAATGAAATGTAGCTACTCTTCATGGTTACATGCCCAGCCTGTTGTATCAGAACATACCTGCTCATCTGAGAGAGAAATGAGGGAAAAGTCTGAAAGATGAGACATGCTCTTCACACAGGAGCAGTGCAGGCAAATCAATCTTTTCGTTACCCAAAACACGTCAAAATGCTCTGCTTTCCTTGGAAATACAGCTCAGGGACTTGTCCGAAGTCACACGGGAGGGTCAGTGTCACAGCTTGCCCATGAACCATCAGATCAGGCTTCTTTCCATGCCACAACCAACCACTCCTTCACCCCCTACAGCCAGCCA